ACAGACGTAAACCACCTTGTGAGACCGCTCCATGCTGGCGACATTGTCTTTGCCTCAGTTTAAAGTGCCCGTGTTTTTGTAGAGGGTGCTTGGATATCCATGACATTTCTGAACATAACAATGAGTTTGGGCCAGTGAGGATGCTTTGTAAGAAAGGATGGGGTCACCGAAGCTATTTTTAAAAAAAGAGAAAGAAAAGAAAACCTCAGGCATTTTAATATGTTAAATACAGACCCAATTATTAATTCTAAAGACTTCCACAAATCAACCTAGATGAAACTTTTTTCACCTTTTTCTGCCTTTTCCCCCCTTCTCAGAAACACTTAGACCTACCCTATGGCAATGACTGTCGGGAAGTCTCTATCCTGTATATCAGGGTAGCACAAATAATTCAGCATAAAGCAGCCCAGTTCCTGTAGCCTGGCATTAGGATAAGTATATCTTAAGAAAGTTCTTATGCAGACTTGGCTTCAGGCAATAAAACGTCATAGACGTATAACTGTAGCAAGCGAAATTTCTAGGGAGCAAATTAGGCTGAAAACATTTTCTCGAGACGGCTAGAAAGGAATCATACACCACCCCAAAATAAGGCAAGTTATGCAGTAAATGTTTCATTTATTGGCCTTCTTCCATTACTATTAGGGTTAAAAGACATCTTGTCAATAAGAAAGGTGTATTTATGGAGGACTGATGTCTTTCGCAAGGCGGCTCCTGTCATAAGTACCTATAGCAGTAGCGATCAGCTTATGAAGGCAGATGATGAAACTCTGTGCAAATGCATACATCTCCCCATTAACCCTTGGATCATCAGGCATTATTGTCACTTTATTACCCGGACCTGTCATTAGCCGAAGCAAGGTGATCAAGCCAGGCACTTCAGAAAAATGCCAGAACAGAACAGTGTTCCTCAGGGGTTCAGGAAGAGGGTATATATGCCTTTCCGTGTCCCTGGACAGCGCCACTGGGGAGAAGTAAAAGGATGCCTGTGAAGTGAGCCTTTTTTTGCCTACCCCTTCCTCCTGCTAAAATGGAAAACTCTTAGAGGTGTCCAATTTTTAGTGTGCCTATGTTGGCTAAGGGAGTAGCTTTCCTCAAGGTCCAAATAAGGAACCATCACCCACGCAGAACAAAAAGCAAACAGAAAATCTCACAGTGGAAGCAGGACTTTGGCTTCAAAACATTTCCCCATTTTATAGCTTCCTTATGTTTTCAGATTCTTTTTTTGGCTTCCCTCGGTCAGCACCCTCCCTGCACAGATAAGTCCAACACAGTGGGTTGGATCATCCATCTTGGAGCCCGAACTTTTGGGAACAATCACACGGCACACGCATGCCCACACGCGTACGTGTGCAGGTCACTGTGGAGCGTCATTTAGTGGAATGTTGAGGAACCACTGGGGGAGCTGAGTATGCTTGACCACACGTGTTCTTCACTTCTGGCGAATCTGAGCAGGCCATCCTTGTTTTTCCTAAATTCCAAAGCCAAACTTCCAAGGCGCTTTGTCGTCTTTGCTTGTGTGCTGCTGCACCTCTTAGCGTAACTGGGGTCTGGGCTGAAAGCATGGAATCATGGGCCCTCTGAATGGTAAAAAAGGACCTAGGAAAATACCCAGTCCAACGACCTCACCCGACAGGTGACAGGTGGAGGACACAGGTGACGCTTAGGCCTATTTCTGCCATCCCCATTAAGCACATTCTCATTTTTCAGAGGGCAACTACCACTCTACCATGGCTCCCCCATGAGGAACCAACACCTGAAGAACGATTTATATCTACTGGAAACTTCCTTTTCACATTCCTCAATAGGGATGAACAAGGAAGTATCCCTGGGAAAGGTGACCTGCTCACTTAGTTTTCGAAGTAAAATGCAGATTCTAGTATCAACACATGTCCACAGGGATTTAATAGAGCGACAGCCGAAAGGGGAGAAGAAAACGAAGAGGCAGGAAGACAGAGAGGCTGAGACACAGTCTCCTTAGAATTCAGGACCTGGGCTGGCCCCAGGAATGGGCCCCAGGAAAGAGGTCACTTCCTCCCCATCCTGCCCACTCCCAAATATGCAAAATCCCCTGGCTTGGGCCAAAGTCAGAACTGGTCTGGTTTCGTCCCTGTGTTCTTGGAACCCTTGCTATTTGGGCAGAGCTCAGGATCCTGTAAACCAGGAGTCCTTAGTGTCTGGGGAGAGAAGTTACCTCAACACCTGGACACGAGCCAACTGTTGTTTAAAATTTCACACCAAATCTATAAAGTACATGTCCACATTGTGAGCCAGGCAACCTGACTTTTAAAAAATGTATTATATTACCCTGCTTTTTGCCCATTGCAATTCCACACCCTCTCCCTCCCCTACCTCCTATCCGGGCAGGCATCACCTGAAGCCCTTTTTCAGAGACTCAGGGGTTATTGACCCTCTGAGATCTTGCTGGTCTCCCCAGCCTTTATGGCACGAAGCAATGAAATTAAATGTGGCACATGTGCTATTATGGAATAACTTTTAATTGCTTAATTAAATCAGAGATTTAAAGAAGGAAAGATTCAAGAGTTTCCTTTGAATGAGAAAAATTAGGATGTGCCAACATGGATGAGGTTACTAATCATCATCATCGCAAGAAAGCCTTTAGTATTTACATATGATAAAAATGCAGGCCAGGGCATTAAAAACAATAAGTACGTGCTTTAAAATTTCAATTCAGTATATTTATGAGCTTTTATTATCCGGGTAGTCCCATAAAGGACATAGAAGTCCTCATTATCCAACTTAATTCAGATCAGGGTTCGATTAAAAAAAAAATACCACCGCACAGGACAAAGAAATTGCCATAAATTGAGTTCCTATGAATGTGTTCCAGTTTAAGTAAATAAGCCCTTAAAACAGGCTTTAGAAAAGTCTATGCTGTACACAGACAGACTCAGGCACACTAGGTATGCAGGTGACAATTAGCAAGTGTGAAAAGCTATGGTCATTCGCTAAATGTGTAAATCTAAAGGCAACCAAGTGAAAAGACCTAGGAAGAGGAAACTGTTAAATCCATTTGTACATGGATTTAACAGTGAAGCATTTCATTCTTCATGTTTTTACTTAGTGTCTTGAAATAATCCCCTTTCTGTCTCCACTCTCCCTCTTAGAAACTGTGCCCGCCTTATTTATTTATGAAGTCTGAAGGTTAGTCCTACCTGCTGAGACTAATTAGCCCTGTGCTTTGTATCCTATGCAATCCTGTCTGATTAAATGTACACATTTGTTTTACTTCTTTTCTGGCTCCTTCTCACTCTACTTCTGATTTTTCTGATTAATATTAAAGTTGGGAGTTACAGTGATTCTCCTCCATAGGCTCTCCCCCTCCCCATTTTATTTTGCCTGCCTCTTTACTCTTTAGTGTGCTAATGTGGCTGCGAATTTTTCCCAGTGCAGGGGAATTCATTGGCCTTGTCAATCTTAGTATCATTATTTTTAGTAGTCTTCTCTCTGAGACCTTAGCCTATAAAACAGTTTTGCTGAAACCCAAACTCTCTAAATATTACATGGTAAATTTGCTTTCTTTTAGAAACCTTAGGTGCTGATGGGCCAGTTGGAATGTATGTGAGTTTTTTGGGGGATTGGTGGGATAATTTAGTACATCATGGACCAACACTGTTCCTAACAGACAATTTGCTAATTCCTATTGATTTATTATTATTTTTTTGGTCCCCCTTTTCATGTGGTAGTTTCCTGTCCACTTTCCACTGAATATTTGCAAGAAAATGAGTGTTGCTGCTCCATCATCCAGGAAGCCTATGTTTTAGGAGTCAGGTCTTTTCCTCTTTAACATAATTCTGTTCCCCATTTTGTAGCAAATCTGCTCCCCAGGCGAGGTGCCTAAAAACAACAATACCTGCCTCAAACCCCAGGTTTTCCACCTCCTCCCTGAGGTCTCTCAGCATCAGCTCAGTTAGCAATTTCCTGCCAGAGCCATCTACATCTTGATTATTTGGCCAGTCTTTTGGGGATTTCATTTCACACCCCCTTCGAGAAAGACTCCAGTACCACTGATTCCAGGGGTTGGTGAACTTTCAGTTTTATTTTCCCTGGCGGTGTTAACGCTCAAACTTTTCACCTCCAAAGGCAGAAGGACTTTGAATCCTAGCTCATTTCCTACCACCTCCAACGTCAGTTACCAGAGGGGGTGGCGGGGAGAACAACACTTTATATTGTAAAGAACCACGTATTTTTCCTGAAGGGTATTTTTAATGCCCCTGACAAACACTAAAGTATTTGATTGTCTTTTTTTTGGGGGGGGGGATAAAAAGTCTTGGTATATTTATTCTAGCGAGATTTAAGATTTTATGAAATGACTCACTATTAATAAATAAAAAGGGTAGGGAAGACCTCGTGGGCTGATAGTTTCTTTCCCTGAAGATGACCAGGAACTTTGCCCAGCTCCCCACTTCCCCAAGCTCTCTGAAAGAGGAGGGTTGATCTTTCTTTTTGACCACTTAAGTTAGATCCCCGCCCAAGGGTGGCTGATTTCACTGCTGGACTAACCACTAAGCACCCCCCCCCCCCCGCCCCCCCCTCTCCACCGCACTCTCCTCCTTTTCCCCTTAAGACTTATTTCTAATATTTCCAAAGTGCACTTTTTTCTGGGCCTCTCCCCATCCCCGCCCCCCAAGTGGGCTTTCCTTCCGCCTTCCGCGGCTCGGATTCCTGACTCGGTCGCCACCCCCTTCCCCTCCTCTCCCACTCCGCATTGTCCTTCCGAAGCCGCCCCCCTCCCGGAGCGAGTCCCAGTACCCTCGCCCAGACTCGCGGGCTCGCACCCACTCAGCGCAGGCCTCTCCCCCTGCACACTCCTCCCTCCAACTCCCTCCCCTCTCCTCCCCCGCCCCTCTCCTCCTCCTCCTCTCCCTCCTCCCTCTCCCGGCGCCCGAAAGGATCATTGTTAGCCGCCCCCGCCCCGCCCACCCCGGCTGTTTATTTATGCACACGTCACCGGGCCGGCCCCGCCCCCCGGCATCTCATTAAGCGAGTGTGTTCCTCTCGCCCTGTCAATAATCTCCGCTCCCAGACTACTCCGTTCCTCCGGATTTCGATCCCCCTTTTTCTATCTGTCAATCAGCGCCGCCTTTGAACTGAAAAGCTCTCAGTCTAACTTCAACTCACTCAAATCCGAGCGGCACGAGCTCCTCCTGTATCTTCGGCTTCCCCCCCCTTTGCTCTTTATATCTGACTTCTTGTTGTTGTTGGTGTGTTTTTTTTTACCCCCCTTTTTTATTTATTATTTTTTTGCACATTGATCGGATCCTTGGGAACGAGAGAAAAAAGAAACCCAAACTCACGCGTGCAGAAGATCTCCCCCCCTTTCCCCTCCCCTTCTCCCTCTTTCCCCTCCCCAGGAGAAAAAGACCCCAAAGCAGAAAAAAAAGTTCACCTTGGACTCGTCTTTTTCTTGCAATATTTTTTTTGGGGGGGGGCAAAACTTTTTGGGGGTATTTTTTTTTTTTTTTTTTTTTGCTTTTCTTCCTCCTTCATTTTCCTTCCAAAATTGCTGCTGGTGGGTGAAAAAAATGCCGCAGCTGAACGGCGGTGGAGGAGATGACCTAGGCGCCAACGACGAACTGATTTCCTTCAAAGACGAGGGCGAGCAGGAGGAGAAGAGCTCCGAAAACTCCTCGGCAGAGAGGGATTTAGCTGATGTCAAATCGTCTCTAGTCAATGAATCAGAAACGAATCAAAACAGCTCCTCCGATTCCGAGGTAGGAAAAGCCCCTCGGGCTGGTGGGGTCTTGAGTCTATTTCCTGGGCTTGGCAAACGGTGCCGAGAGGGAAGGAATCGGGGCCGGGGGCGCCGCGGGGCCGGGCGGGCGGCGTGTGCGCGCGGTGCCACCATTGCAGAAACTTGTAACCCTGTTTTCTCTCCCCCCCCAACCCCCCCACCCCGCTGATCTTTTTTCTCCCCCTTCTCCCCCCTCTGCGTGGCGTTTGCCCCTCGCCCTCCCCACCTCCACCCCTCCGGGAAGGCGGAAAGACGGCCTCCGCCTCGCTCCGAAAGTTTCCGAGATAAATCCCGGGAAAGTTTGGAAGAAGGTGAGTACGCCCCGCGCGCCCCGCAGCCGCCCGGAGCCGCCCCCC